CGGCCGCTGTATTGTCCGTGCGGACCAGTACATGCTTGCCTCGTAAGCGCCCTTTGAGACGGCTCAGGGCAAGGTGCACTGCCAGCAACTCAAGGCAGTTGATGTGCCAGTGCAGTCGGGGCCCCGTCCAAACCCCTGACACTGCAAGCCCGTTGTACGTGGCCCCCCAGCCGGTGGTTGAGGCATCTGTGCAACCCAGCATGCCTGGAGACCTGCTCCAGGGGCACTCCTGCCCGGAGGAACGCAAGGTCTGACCACGGGGTGAAGGTTTGGCGGCAGGCCGGTGTCACCTGGACCCGGAAGGTGCCGCGTTGCCACGCCCACCTCGGGACTCGGCCATGGAGCCAGTGCTGCAGCGGTCTCATATGGAGTAGCCCCAGTGGCGTGACTGCCGCCGTGGCCGCCATATGCCCCAGGAGCCTCTGAAACAATTTCAGTGGGACCGCCATCCTGCTCTTGAATGTATTCAAGCAGTTCAACACCGACTGAGCACGTTCCTGCGTGAGGCGTGCTGTCTGTTCGACCGAGTCCAACTCCATACCGAGAAAAAGAGATCCTCTGCATCGGGGAGAGTTTGCTCTTTTCCCAGTTGACCTGAAGGCCCAACAGGCTGAGGTGTGAAAGCACCAAGTCCCTGCGCTCGCACAACTGATCCTGAGACTGGGCGAGTATGAGCCAATCATCGAGGTAGTTGAGGATGCGAATGCCCTGCTCTCTCGTGGGAACAAGGGCTGCCTCCGTAACTTTCGTAAAGACACGGGGCAACAGGGACAGCCAGAAGGGCAGGACCTTGTACTGGTATGCCCGCCCCTCGAACGCAAACCGCAGGAATGGCCTGTGGCGCGGAAGGATAGAAACATGAAAGTACGCGTCCTTCAGGTTGATCGCTGCGAACCAGTCTTGGGGACGGATACACCTGAAAGTGCATTTCTGCGTGAGCATCTTGAACGGGAGCCGGTGAAGGCCCCGGTTCACGACGCGCAGGTCCAAGATAGGTCTCAACCCACCGCCTTTCTTGGGTACAATAAAGTAAGGGCTGTAAAACCCCGACCTCATATCGGCTGGAGGGACCGGCTCTATCGCGTCCTTCGCCAGTAGGACTGCGATCTCTGCACGCAAGACAGGGGCATCTGCTGCTTTCACTGACGTAAAGTGGACGCCCCTGAACTTGGGAGGGCGCCGGGCGAACTGAATCGCATAGCCGAGCCTGACGGTTCGACGGAGCCATCGAGACGGGCTGGGTAGCTCTAGCCAGGCTCCCAGACGCCGCGCAAGTGGCATCAACGGAACTACAGGCGTACCCGCACAATTTTAAATAGTAAAAATATTTAAACATTTTACTGTTTTTTGGATCAAATAAATGCAGCCTTGGTGAGCAGAAGAGAACTCTTAAAAAATAAAAAAACCTTTAAAAATCTTACTGTTCAAAAACTTTTGACTGCTAGTGTAGGCTGATTATTCTTATAGATTGAAACAAATGTGCTTCAGCCAGAAAAAAGGGTATGAAAAGTGCTCCGTGTCGCAGCAGAAAACAAAAAAATTTAACAACAACAAAAACTGGAAATTTTGCTGGAGACGGGCTTATTGAAAATGCAAACTCATTCTCTGCCAGCAGGAGGCGCTTTTAGAGTGATAAAACTAGCGGTTTCTCCAGTAATGGCTGTAATCAAAGCAGCTCCGCTCATGAACGCTACTTTATCAGATCAAATGAAAATGCCATCGAAACTTTTCTGAAGACGGTCAATTCCCTTCAGAGATACATTCATATAAAACACCCGCGCCGTGTTATGATTTTGAAAGGTGCAGAGCTCATGTTTATTCAACGAAGTCAAACGGCACAAATAAATCAATGTATGGGAAACTGGTAATGTATATCAAAATATCGGAAATGTGTTTAAAAATCATATCACCGTTATTGAAAAAAATGATATCGCAATACATATTGATATTGAATTATTGTCCAGCCCTAGGGCGAACAGGGAAATATGTCATTTTAGTCAGAACTTTCCAGACACATTCATATTCCAAGGTTTTTAGCACTAAAACAACACAAAGAGCAATGGATGCACATTTTGTGTGTACTTGATGATTTATCAGTGTATTATTTAATTTTTCGTGCTGCCAGGGGGAATCATGGGAAATGTAGTTTGGTTGCAAAAGTCAAGATTGTAAACCAGCTATTTATCACTATTTTTCATCAAGTGGAAACAAAATAGACTAAACAATAAATGGATCTTGAATATGAATTTACATTGGACTACAAACTGATTTTGCCACCTCAACTCTTTAGTCCACCACATCTTCTCTCTAGAACCATTTTTTCATTCGGTTTTGTTGAGCGTTAAGACAAAGACAGAAGAGACCAACACCATGGCCCTCGGGTAGAATGGTTAAATTTATTTGTTCATCTTAGCTGTGGCATTACTAAACCGAATGAGACATATGCAGGTCTGGCTACTGTCTGGTGTGGATTTACGGTCGGCCTACTCACAGAAGCTTTTCTTAGTGATTAGATTACCATTACTTTATGTTAGCCAGAGTAGACCTATATGTGTGCAGTGCCATGTCTTTTCTCGCTCTTATGACAAAATGAAGCTAATAAAATATTTTAATAAAAACCAGGGGTGATCTACAGCCAGAATGTTTCTACCTACAGTCAGGTAAAACAAAAAAAAATGTATGTTCTGGGTTCAATAAAAGTTAAGCTGTATCGACAGTACCTGTGAAATACTGTCAGTTACCACAAGAAATAATTTAATCTCATCCCTCATTTCATAAAAATGAACAAAAAAACAGCAAAAGACTACCCACAGACTTCCATTGTAAGTGTGAAGCTGTTGCAAATGTTTTTTCCAAACTACATCTAAATCTAAATTATTTCCTGTGACAGGCAACATTGTTATATATGTACTGTCATACACTATTAAATGCTGTTGACAGAGCTTACCTTGTCAAACGTCCAGCGTCAAGTCATTTGTCTGTCCACAGTGTTAATAAGACTGCTCCCTGAGGTAAAACAGTAACAGCCAATCAGATTTGATGATTAATATACACCGTCACATGAAGCGGGACTTTGGACCAATGAGGTTTCGCTATGGGCGGGGCTTCCTAGCGTGACGCCGCGAAAACAGATTCGGTCCTTCTCATTTCGGCAAATAATTTTTTTATGATTAGTTTTTAAGTTAGTTTCAAACTCATTATGAAATGGCGTTATCTTACTCGTCTTACTATCAGATGACTGTCAGATTATTCCGAAAGAGATGGTTTGAGCATAAACTGCTTGGACCGATTCAGTCCAATTTGCCACTGAATCATTTAGTTCGGTTCGTAAATTAATCGTTTAGAGACCAGTTTGTGAACCTGATTTAGTTAAAGGGGTCATATGATGCGATTTCAAGTTTTCCTTTCTCTTTGGAGTGTTACAAGCTCTTGGTGCATAAAGAAGATCTGTAAAGTTGCAAAGACTAAAGTCTCAAATCCAAAGAGATATTCTTTATAAAAGTTAAGTCAGCCACACCTACCTAAAACGGCTCGTTTTAACACGCCCCCACATGTCTACCTCACTATGTGGAAATATTAGCATAATGTGCCCAAATGTGCACGCAAAGAAGGCGTGGTTTCAGGAACAGCAGTAGTAGGGCTGTCGCGATAACCGCAATATCACAATACCGCGCTATTGACGAGCAAACCGCGATTTTTGCGTGTTGCGTTTTTGAACGTGTAGTTGAATGACAGTCACGTTCCACCACCTTGTGGCGCAACACTGTAACTGCGCATGCAGGTGGAAATATCAATAGAAAGTCTCTTGTCTAGTCAGATTAGAAAATCAGATTAGAACTAGGCTAACTGTTATACATATAGGCTAACGATAGCCTAACAATCTTATTGTCAGGTTTATGTTCTGTTATGTGGACCGTTATTTTGTCATTCTCTTCTGTTTACTTCACTTCCTGTTTCAACGCTATTTGGTTTCGGTTTCATTATCTTCTGAATATGACCTCGTTAGTTATATCGTAACACATACACACAAATGATATATGGCGTAATACCGCATACCGTGCTATTGAACCACTCAAAATTACCGCAAGGGAAATTCTCTCACCGCGACAGCCCTAAGCAGTAGTGTTGATGCAGCCCAATCACCTGGTTGTTGAATAAAGTAAAACATCACCAGAGGAAACTTTTACTGCTCAGATGTTGCTCTTTTATTGCTCAGGTGGCCTAATGGAGCTCTTGGTATGTATCATTTAAGTATCATCACATAAATGGAAAATAAAATTTAAAAAATGTTAAAAAAAAAAGAAGAAGAAAGAAAAACAAAAACAAAGGAAGATATAAAAATAAATACATAGAATATTAAACACTGGTATCACACATAATGCACGGTTGCCCAAAAATGTAAGACCAAAATCAAAACCTAAACATCAAGCCTAGCCCTAAAATCCATCCATGATTGTTATAAGAAAAAAAACATATTCAAATTGTAAGATATATGATATCGCAATCTTACAAAATTAAAAATTATATTTGTATTAACTACAAATTATGAGATTTTATTAGTTGTCATGGAATGCAGCCACGTATCTAGATTTTGCGCTGGTAACTGATTTGCATTATTCCTTAAATGGAATGAAGTAATCATTCATTAAAACACCGCAGACCGCAAGTAAATGGCAATCAAGTTGTTAGTGATTTCCTCCCTTGATTTCTGATTGTCCAGCCTGGTCTCGTGAGGTCATAATAATTAGCACGAGATGGCAAAATCGGAAGTAAGCTTACAATTCGGGTCTCGAAAAATACTAAGACCCAAACATAAATATCAAGCTCAACCCGTAAAGGCATGATTGTTATAGAATTTTTTTTTACAAAAGTCATATGAATTATACGATTATGCGAACTTGCAGAAATTATGTGATATTACGATTTGTGATGGAATTGTGTTGAATGTGTCAAGCGATCACAAATCTCGAACTTTGCACTGTTAACTGATTTGCATAATTGTTTCTATATCTGTGTTGTTTTAGCGCACGATTCTCTAAAGCACAGACAGAAAGGCTATAAAGTCGTTGTTAGCAAATTCCGTCACTTGATTTCTGATTGTCCAATGTCATGAGACGGCAAAATTGGAAGAAACTGTACGACTTAGGTTGCAAAAAATAACCCAAACTTAAATGTAATGCCCAACCCAATACAATCTATTATACGATTCTGCAAAGTTGTAGAAATTGTAGAATTGCATGGAATGTGTCCTGCATCTCAAATTTGCACTGTTAACTGATTAGCATAATTCCTTAAAGGGGTCATATTATGCTGCTAAAAAGAACATTTTGTGTATTTGGTGTAATGAAATGTGTTTATGCGGTTTAAGGTTCAAAAACACATTATTTTCCACATACTGTACATTATTGTTTCTCCTCTATGCCCCGCCTTTCTGAAACGCGTCGATTTTTACAAAGCTCATCGGTCTGAAAAGCGAGGTGTGCTCTGATTGGCCAGCTATCCAGTGGGTTGTGATTGGCTGAATACCTCAAGCGTGTGACGGAAATGTTACGTCCCTTACCATATTGTGATGCCTGCGGCAACCACATGTGACGACCCCGCGGGCTGGACTCCGCTTCGTCCACGGTGAAAACCGATCCGGTGATCCACAGCGGGAAGTTGAAGTATTTCCTCAGCGACCAGCACGGATCAGCTCCAGGCATGACGAAGCAGATATCGTCCTCTTTTGGAAGGCCAACCAAAGTAGTTTCGCTTTCACAACGAAACACACAGTGTCTTCAGGACATGGCGGCGGCAGCAACAATACTACAGCGAGAATAAAAGTTACGCCTTCTTTCTTTGCGTGAACATTTGGGCGGCATTATGCAAATCTTCCCACATCGTGATGTAGATATGTGGGGGGCGTCTTAGAACGAGCTGTTTTATGTAGGCGTGGTTGACTTAACTTTTATAAAGAATATCTCTTTGGATTTGAGACTTTAGTCTTTGCAACTTTACAGATCTTCTTTATGCACCAAGAGCTTGTAACACTCCGAAGAGAAAGGAAAAATTGAAATCGCATCATATGACCCCTTTAAGTGGATTGCGCACAACGCAGACCAAGTAAATGGCGTGCAAGTGAATTCCCGCCTTTGACTTCCAATTGCTGCGGTTTTATCTTGGCAAATTTATATATTGTTAACATCGCTAGAGGACAGTCGAGATTATGGGCATCTCACAAGACAAATTTGAGAAGCCACAGACTCTCCATTGCACACCATATATAACCTAATTTGAGTCTAAAAGAAACATTTGAAATGTTCTAGAGATTTTTTTTCAGATTTTCTTTGGCGTCACTCTCAGACTTTGTGCACTAAATTGAAATCATGTCGTTTGTGTCCCCGCAGACTAATTTTATAAACTGCATTCTGCAATTAAACACTCGTAGCGCTGCATTTCTGCCGTTTGTTTTTTCTCAAATGTGCTTTGAGACTGCATCACTGTGCTTAACACACATATGCACCAACTCTCTGGTACACAGCTGCATTTCAGTGGCTTTAAGTGTATTGCTCATTTGACAAACACAAATTGATTTCCCACAGGGTGGATTGTGAGGAAAAAGTAGGGTCCAGGAAACACGCTGGATGGTGCAAGCAAATTCCCCTATTCCGCTCCCTCCCACTTCCCATCGCTCTCTTTAATAAGATGTCTGCCTCTTTGTTTGTCTGCTGTAAAAAAAAAACAGAGAGAGAAACTGCTATTGATTAACAGCGCTGCATGAAAAAACGCGCAGTGGGGTCTCTTCTGAAAGCACTCAGCCTGTCTCTAAGCTTGACCTTTGAGGCTTCTCAACTTTTTGAATTCATTGGCATTGTTTAAAAGCGGCACAAACACGGATCTGTTGCACCTACGCACGCTGATAGCCGCGAGCCAAATCTAAAAGTTTCAAATGAGACGGCATCTGGAGACCAAGCATTTCGCCTGTTGGTTCTATCATTCAGTGCAGTCATCTGCTGCGATGAGGTAGCGTTCATGACGAATAAAGTTTATCATGCATTGCAACATATGCCAGCTCTCAAAACCCTCATTTTCTCACTCGTTTTGTCTAGCCTGCATCCTGTTTAAGCTTGGATTATGGTCCTGGGAGCCCCGGGGCTCCAGCTTCTTTGAAGGCCCCCAGTTACTGTTATAATTCCACAGACTTCCATTTCTAAGTGCATTACTCTAGATGAGATTTGTGTTTGTTGTCACACACAATGGTAATCAAATGCTGTCGATAGAGATTACTCAGAACATTCCTTTAATTATGTAAGCCCATTTCAAACCCATAATAAAGAATTCAAACTTAATAAATAAATATATAAAGAAAATATTAATATCACACGAATACCTGTTAGATCATTAACAATACTACTTATACTATTACTTTTATTGTCTTAAGTTTAATCATTTTAAATGCAATTATGATTATTTTAATAATTATAATAATAATGTTTTATTATTATATATGAAAATTGATATTTAATAATTATTATTGATATATATTTTTTAACAAACCAAGGAAATTAGCATAGAAAATGTGGACTTTTATTATCATCTTCACGTTAATTATTTTTATTGTAATTGTAATCATTATTCTTAATAATGATGACTATTATTTTGATTATTATACATTATAATTTATATTTAAAAAAATTGATATAAAAAAGCAATTTCAATAATTTCAGTTTATTAAGGCATAACTTTTTTCATAACCATCCCTGATGGTGAGGATGATCATGTATTATTATTATTATCATCATCATCACTGTTGTTGTATAAAATTGTACAATGTATTATTATTATTATTGTTGTGGTAAATAAGGTATTTTATTTAATATTAATAATCGTCGTCATCATCATTATTATTATTTAATGTTGATATAATATTAATTATTAGATGCAATTATTATGATTTATGATTTTTTTTTTTGTAAACATAATTATAATAATTATTGTAATTTAATTAATTTATTTTTTTATAAACACCATGGAAATTATCCTAAAACGTGTAGACTTTTATCAGACATTTTGTTACAAAAGTAATAGACATAAACACTGTGTTGTCCAGATTTATTTACTAGGATGGCCTGTTCATTAAAGAGTGGCATAAAGCATAACCTTCCCTGATGATGATGATGATAATAATCATAATAATGTATTATTATTTATATTTATTGATTTATGAACTGATTCGCAGTCCTGTCCTTGACAAACTATTGGAAAAACCTGGCTGGCAGCAGTTGTGCTCACAGCCCTCACCTGCGCTGATGTAATTACCTAACAAGATTTTTATTTTTTTCTCACGAAGTTGACCAAAACACCCTCTTCCCTCTCATTCACACTTTTGAAGTGAAGCTCATCAATACAACCCCCTGCTGCACTCTCCCACTGAATGTCCATCTCTGCGGTCTCCCACTCCCACACACTTCAGGACGGCCAGCAGGACCCACACACCCCTCCCGCCAGCTCATATCATGTCATATACCTCCAGCGCAGCTCTGCCGCTGTGGGAGCTAATGCGCTGCCGTGTCTTTAAAGTTGCCATTTAATGCTTTTATGCCAGTTCATAAAAGAGTACGGAATCCGGCGCTACAGGTCCGTGTAATAAAAACCTTATTTTAAACTTCGTAATTATCACCCCGCTGTCTTGACGATTTAATGATGATTATATATGAGATGAAATGATCATGATCCATCATAATTATGAAGGTCTCGGTACATTCTCTCCAGCATATAAATGTATTGCTGCCACTGGGGAACTTCACCGCAGGCAGTGTGTTAGGCTATTTGTAAAATGCTATTCCTGAATTTGAACTCGGGGTGGAAAAATGAAATGCGTAAATCACATGCAGAGCAAACAGGCACATAATCGAGCGGATTTCTGAGGTGAACGGTTAACCGAGACATTAAAGTCAAACTGAACTGGGAGACGGGCAAATTAATTGAAATTGACGAGATAATCGCTGACCGATAACAGCAACTTTTGCCGTTTGTTCATTAGCCTACCTAAGCGAAAGTTGAGGGATTTGAGCAATTACATGTGTTTATCAGAAAAGTTCTAACGTGTGAAATAAGAAAGTTAAAGGAATATTATCAGATAAACGCATATAGACAAACAAAATGAGTTGTGGCTGGTCAATTTGCAAGTCAATCGCTGTTCTTGTCTAAGTGGGCGGGCCTTTTGTGTCAGTTGGCGATCTGTCAACATAAAACTAGGCTACTTCGTTTTGTTTTTATACTTTTGAAACTGTGTATTCTGATGTTTATCACAGTCAATATTTTCTTTCCATTTTTAAAAGCATTGCTGTAAACACAATTTTTGCTTCTGTGAAGACCGTTTCAACTCTTTCAGAGTCTGATCCTATAAGTGAAGCTTTGCTTTTCATACGCAAATTATTCAGTTGCCTTTCCAGAATGATAACAGACAAAAAAAGGCTCTGCACTCTTTATTTTTTGAGTGTTTTCTCTCTTTGTGTGTGCAAACACAATTCTTTTCAGACCTCAGTGGTTAAACGCGTTGCGAGCACAACCAGAAAACAGCCAATACATCGAAATGAGTCATACATCACGATTAGGTTTTTCAGATATGGCAATAACGCACAGTGACAGGTAGTTTGTAGATGTCATTCAAGACCTTTGTTTTAAACCATTTTAGCAATTGGACTGGACATTCACTCCATCTCTCTACAACTGGATATCTCAGGTCACTCCACACATCCCGAGGAGGGGGAAAAACCAGCACGGCGAGAGGCCTGACCTCACCTTGACCTGGAGAAACTCTGTTGATATCTTGCTGAATATTCAGCTCTCTTTTGTTGTGCATTTCTACAAATTCTCCAGCTAAACAAGCAGCCTGTTTGACACACAGTTTATTAGTCGCAGACTGTAACTATCCCTTGTCTTGTGGTACTAAAGATCCATCCATTATATCTATGCTCTCTTTTGTTGTGCATTTCTACAAATTCTCCAGCTAAACAAGCAGCCTGTTT